CTAGACTGTGCCCCACCTGACATTGGAGAAAAGACGGTGTGGGCACCCCGACAAGGTCAGCAGTCAATCATGTGGCCAGTACAGAGACAGAAAATGGCAGCTAAATCTGCACCTATGGTTTGTTCAGAATAATCAACAAACCTTCGGTGCAACAACAAAAATGTCTCTGAAGGAAACCCAGGGTTCAGCTGGCCAAGAGGTTAAACATCGTTGCCCTTTTGTTTTGAGGAAACGGTTTACCACTGTGTTGTTACTTAGTCAGAATGATGAAAAGATGCAAAGTAATGTACATAGATACTAAGACTGAATTAGCAACCAGGTCCAAATGGGCATCTGCCTTAGGATCACTGAGGGGACTCGTATAACACGTGACATGGGCTATTTTAATTGAATCGCAATATACAACTGGAAGACGCGTGCTGCTTGGTATTTATTTTGATAACTAATGAGGTGCCTTGGCCTAAGGAAACTATTGGCTCACCTTGTTTTGTGCATTTCTTAAGGTTTCTGTGCCTGGGGGCACCAATGCAGTATCTTTAGTATATACTAAACTGCCACCTGGTGTCAGTGTTTTGTGCTTTTCTTAGATTAGAGAAAAACAGAGGCAGGACAAATGGGTTTGCAAAAACCCAGGAGAAGGCAGGAAATGAAGATATTTCTGGGGCAGGACCCCCAACTGTGCCCCCCTAAGACCTACCTGCCTTGTCTGTATCTGGTTGGATTCTTTAATGCTAAAATGTCACATAAGAAAAGGAAAGGCTGAGCATAACAAAACTCCCAGGAACGGTGAACAAGAAGAAGCGCAGGGCCAGTAGGGACAAGAGAACTTTTAACCCCCTGACAGCATTTTGGTCTGGGGTCGTCCTTTCATGTGGCCACTGGAGGGCAGCAGCACCTTAGTCATGGGTATTTTAAAAGGACAGCATGACAGCTGTCAGCTGCATTGACCACAGAAATAAGTGGCAAATTGTGGGTTTGTTTTGTTTTTAATTAGCCCTCTGATTTTAGGAAACACATGAATATGCTCGATCTTTTAGTTGTAGATGAATGAGGAAGAATGGCATTACCAGAAATCTGATGGTAAAAATCTAAGCATTCAAAACAGATCTGGATGATTTCTGCAAGTCACAGTGACTGAGAAACATTTGGTGCTTGGTGATAGACATCAGAGAGAAAACTACACAGCAGCAGTGAGATTCTTTTTTAAAACATTGGCTGAATTTCCCTGGTTTAATTTTGACATGTGCAAACATGTCTGCATCTCAGCCTGCCTTTACAAAGTGCTATCCTTTCCCAGTGAGGACTCCGGCTGAAGTGGAGATCAGGTATTTCATTTTTCACTTTTAGAAACACTTCAGAGTGACTGAGCAGAAAGGTGGAGGTATAACATTCAAAACAAACGGATAGCTATTATTAACTTTGAAGAGGTTCTCCATTTTTTAAAAGATTACATTTTCTATTCTGTTACTGCAAGTAGGCTAAATAGCCAGTCACAACCTGTTTGCCTTGCTGCCATTTGACAAGCTGCACACAAGTAGCATGCCACCAGTAGTTTCTTCCCTTGGGCTTTGACATTACTGAACTAATGCAATGACTAAATTATTAATTTACTCTTTTATTTCATTTTTTGTCTTTATTTATGTTTCATTTTCATTCATTTTATTATTTCATTTTTTGTCATTGTTTTTGTGTTGCATGTTTTTAATTAAATTATCTTGAATAAGCCTCTCTCTCTTATCCTTCAATACTCATCCACACTCAGAGTGCTGGAGGCTAGATTATTGTAGGAAACACTTGATAATGGAAACGTTCTTGAATGGCAGGAAATGCACAATGCAATTTTGAATGCATCTACCCTGGAAACTATGCAAGCTAATCTAACCAAGCAAGTCTTGGTAAGTTTTACATGTATTATTCCTCATACTAACCTTTACTCGCCTTCTAAAGCCATTGTGTGCTGCATAGGAATGGACCTTTAGAAACCCCTCCCCCACACACCGTTACTATTAACACTATTAATGAAATATACACTTCTGTTTATCTAAGCTAAAACATGCAATATCCTCCTGTAAGAAAAATAAAAATCAGAAAATTAAGTGGTGTAAAATGATACATCTTCAGCCAAAAAGTGTATGCATTTACTCCCTTTGACCACTAGATGGAGCGCCACATCAATCTCCATTGAACAAAGTACAAAAAACGGTACTTTGACCACAGTCAGTGAGCTGCTCATGTTTGTTGAGATGCTCTTTTATACAAATTAACCTCACGCTTACGTTTTTTATTTACTATTTCCTATTCTAACTGCTGGGTTACACCTGCTTATATAGGCCCACATGTCCAGCCCCTTTTATTCCTATATAAGTTACAGTCAGGCTACAAGCTAGTGCGATACTTCCGCTGCAGCAAAGCTCGCCTCTGTTTCTCTCCTCTAGAGTCTCCCACAGGTGAGCGCAAACTTTATCTGTCATTTTAGGAAACATGAACTTTTATTTTGGCGTTTTTTTATTTATTTATTTATTTTATTTAAAATTTTCTGTGTTTAAATTGCTCTTCAACATCTAGTTTAATAAGGAGCTACTGGAGAAGCTACATTTAGTTTTTAGAGATTAGTTAGCTGAAGGTGATTCAGAATGTTGCGCTAAGGTCACGGACTGTAGGCATTCAATAAACATTTACAGTATTTCACATTTCATAATCAGTACCTAATTATATCCTTAATAATAATAATAATAATAATTAATAATAATATAATAATATTAATTATAATAATAATAGAAGAGGGAATGTAACAATTCTGATGCTAAGGCCTCTTAAATCTACTCTTCATGTTCAGCTTTACATAACATGTTTTACTTAAGTTAACCCTATTTGTTAAATGTCTAAATATAAATATGATTTTGTATTTTCTTATGTAGATCAGAAATAATTAATAAATATTTATTTTAATTTTTTAAACCTATTTTAAGAGAAGATAGCTAACCTGTAAATAAGGCTGACCTGTTATAAAGTATATAGTAAGTAGTAAAGCACAATATAAGTTCATTTTTTAATTGATTAGGATACAGTTTATGAGTAAACACATCAGCATTAGAAGTATTGGTGTGTGTGATCTTGCAGGAAAACCAAGGTGAGTAAATCAGTAACAGTGTAACTTGTCAGTCTTGTGTGTGTGTGTCTGTGTGTGTCTCTGCCTAGACTTTGAAACAGGGCCCATTTACACAGCTTATGTGTTTTGAATTAATGCAAATATTTGGCAGGTAGAGGTTTTTGTGTGCTAGAGTAAATATAACTGTGCATGCAAGCACCCGAGTTGCTCAAGTTATTGATACCAGGAGAAATAAAACGGGCGGCGCATCCTTGTGTGAACTGGGTGTGAACACCAAAACACACAGTGATCAAATTCAGCTGGCAGAGCCAGTTAAAGGCAGGCAAACATCACAATGTGCCTTTTGAAAACACACGGCGGCTCACACAGTGATTAGCACGTAGTTTACTTATTATCCGCTGGATTATGCTTTACTGAAAACTGGTGGCAAATGTTGGCAAAATGCCACACGGTGCTTTCTTCCTTTATGGATTAGTGTGTGTAAGAAAAACCTGCTGTGCATTTAGAGTGCATCTACAACTTTACAGTGCCGTCTAGCTGTGACTATATTTGTCCTCCTTCCTTTTCTCTCTCGCAGGGGGACAGGAGAGTCGAGAGTTGGAGGGCTGCCAAAAGAGGCCGGCCCGCCTTGCAGCTGAAACTTTTACAAGCCAAGCAGGAAGACACACGGAGAGCGATCGAAGAAGAAAAGGAGGAAAAGAAAAAGTGAGAAAGACATCTGAGCTCCTTTCTCTCGATCTTTCTGTCTCTCGCCTCTGTGTCTGCCTTCTGCCCGTCTCTCCTTTTCTTTTCTTCTTCCTTGTTAAAGCCATACTGTATTTGCCCGCCTTTGTTGGCAGGGGGTAAATGTAGGGCTTGAGGACAGGGCGGGAGGGAAGTAATGGAGGGGTGTGGGGACTTTGAGTTCAGAGAGTTCAGCTGAGGAGAGAAATAAATTCATAAACAACAAAGGAGACGTGACGTCAGGGTTGAGGGGCTGTCCAACCTGCTGCCTGAATCTGAGCCTCCATAGAAGAACCGGATTCTTCACACCACGTGTGTGTGCGTGCGTGTGTACAGTATGAACGTGTGTGTACGTGTGTGTGCGTCCATTGTCCTGTCTTTGAGAAAAGACTTGTGGTGTTCAAGCAGAGAAGCTGGGCTATTGTGGTCTGCTTTGTGTCCGCAGTTGGTGTTTGAAGACTGAGAGAAGCCTCTGGTAACGTGTGTGTTGGTATCTGTTTGGCCAGTCAGAGGACGCCGCCGCTATTATTACAGCAGCTGCGACAACGAATGAGACGTTTCACTCGAAACAAGCTTTGCTTTTGTCTGTAATTGGTTGCTTGAATCGAATGGTAGAAGAGTGTTCCTGGGTTTTTTTAGAGTTACACTCAGTATTTTCAAAATGACATCAGCTCGGAGGTGAGTGCTGATTGGTTGGCTCGGCTTGGGATACCCGCTTCAGCGCCAATGATTGGCCCGCAAGCTGGCTACAGAGAAGGTCGGCCATTAATGAGCAGATGGATTTATGTTTTCTCTCCTAATGATTGAGGTCATCTAGAGGCGACAGCTCGCTGATCCAAGATCTGCATTGGTGTTCAACTATCATGCTCGGGTGAGAAAGCAAAGGGAGACCTGGGAAGGATGCCAAAGGCAGGGGGGGGGAGTATCCACCCTCCCTGCTCATTGATTCATTTAGCTGAACTCTCTGAAAGCCCTCCCTCTCACGGGGGCTGATATTATCCCCAATGGAGGGAGAGAGGACGAATTGAGGGGAGACGCAAAGAAAAACAGGCAGAACAGAGATGTCAAAAAAGACAGGAAGTCTGCCAGGAATCCTTTTTCTGGGGAGAGAACTTGAAAAAGTCCAACAGCGCATATAAGAAATCTCAAGCCAGTTTGAGCTTCTTCAAAAAAAATCTATTGACTGTATGAACATGGTGAGATGCAACAATATGGCAGAAGTGTCGGGATCTGCTCGTCTCTCTCGCCATCTGTCTGTTGCTGCAGGATAGTATGAGTGGGGTGGACAGAGGCTTTTGGATATTGGATAATAAACGCGTACGTTAGCCGATACCTGACTGTTTTGCGTGGCCGCGTCGGCTCGCGACAGTTGACGTTTCTTCTCGTACTTTTCTTCCTTGTCTTTCTGTGGCACACTCTCAGTCTGAACTCTTTTCACGGACTCCTCCTCTTTCTGTTCCTTCTCTCGCTACAGCATGTCACTCCCTTCCTCTTTCTGTGTCTCTGCACCCCCCACCTCCTCCCCTCCTTTTTCTCTCCTTCCCTCTTGGCAGCGGTGCCAAAGTGGGCTGGCAGACCGAAGCAAACACAGCACAGGGCAGAGCAGAGGGTGATCCAAAGGCTGGTGATTTGATTATGTGTACGTCTGTGTTCTTAACTCCTCTGTCGTTGGCGTCTTCTCGTGTTTGACTCTGTTTTGGTTGTACGCCGCTGACAGTAATGCAAGTCTGCTGCTGGTCTGTTTCGGACCTCTTTGCTGTTGGTGTGTTTGATATTGTCGTGTTTTCTTTGCGCGTGTGTGTTACAGTGGCTGTGTGTGAGCAGACGTCCCTCTGTCACCTCGTGTACGGACAGACGCACTCACGCCAGTAGGAGGGGATTGTGGGAAGGGGGTGTAGCTCTCAAAGGGTGTGCTCTACTCCTCTCTTTTCCCTTCTTCCCGCCATCACGGCCCTCTTCTCCTTCAGTCCTCCGGCCCAGCCCGCCGCTCACTCCAGGCTTCAGGTATTTTCCTTTTATTAATCCTGTGACACCTTTTCCCTGCAGTCTGTCTCCCCGAGTTCCTGTCGCCC